GGGACGCGGGGACTGCGGCCCGGCTGTCACGGCGCCATCCTTTCCGCCTGCCCGGCTGCCCGTGCGCGCGGCCCCTCGGGAGGGAGCGGGGAGGACACGTGGTGGGAGGAGGGAGGGTCCGGCCGGGAGCTGAGGGTGTTGGGAGGCGAGGGGAGGAGCCGCTGATGTCAGCAGGCCCCGTCCCCGCGCGCACCCCAACCTCCTCCCAGCGCGCGCGCCCGGCCTGTTAGTCCCCGAGCTGGCAGGGGCTGGTCAGGCCGCTGTCTTCTGGACAAGGCAGAAAGAGCCCGGCTTTATTTTTCAGCCGTGGGAGAGCACACGTGCGTGTGCGCATTGGCACTAACCACTAGTGTTTTGCACTTGCTCGCCAGACTTCAGGGAATGAGCTCTGGAGGCCAGACCTGCAAGGGAGGATGGGAGATGGGGGGCAAGGGCGTGACTGCCCACCTAGGGTCTTAAGCCCAGATTCTTTTGCTTTCTAAATCAAAGGAGACCATATAATTTACTAAAATGGGAAAACAAAACAAAACAGAAAAAGGACTTATTCAAAGCTACCTGCAGGAAATGGAGGGGCCCGTTTGCCCCAAATCACCATCTCCTCGTGAACAGATGGGCAAGGGGCTTTTATAGTCAGGAACATTGCTGATAGGGATGAGAGTACAGAGAGAGTGCGGATCTTTGCACTTGTTTCATCACTTCTAGCAGTCTTCAGCTCCTTGTCCCCTTTCTTCTGGAAAGGAAACCGGGCTCTAGGCCTCCTGCTGTGGGCACCTGTATATTTTTTAGCTTAACCAGGAAGTTTGGAGAAGTTGCTTATTGCTGAAAGAAAAACCTCTAACTTTTAAAGCTCCATTTTATAGTGCCGGTTACAAGGGGTCCAAGGTCTTGGGAGAAGAGCGCTTCAAATTCGGTCAAGCAATTGTACAGACCTTCCAGTTTGAGAAGAGAACGTTCTGATTTTTATAGTTGTTGCCTATTAAATCCCAAGCATGCATGCACTGCATGAGCAGAAAAAAAAATACAGTGAATGTTCAAAAATGTAAATTTATTACAGTAAAAGACACATTTCCATGGATCCTCCTCAGAATACTCCCCAGCACTTCCAACATACTTATGCCATCCTTCTTGCCACTCGCTGAAACAGTTCTGCAAGTCCTCTTTCCTGAGTGTCTTCAGTTGCACTGTCGTGGCTGCCTTGCTGGCCTGAATTGATTCAGAACATTTACTTTTCTTGGTCATTTTGACTTTCCATGGTACCAGACCTGGTTGAGGCAGAACAGAAAAAGTAAAAAATATATCATCAAGATTTTAGAATTATATTTTTAAGAATTATAGCTTCAAGACAAGCCTTCTTTCCTTCCAAAAATCTCACTCAAAAAAAAAATTCTTGAAGGTCCTTTTACACTAACTTATAAATTAGGGCTCTGGACCTTATTTTCACCAATAGACCCACTGTAATGTTTTTATTTGACACAAATTGTCATACATAGTTGATCAACAAGAGGTGATAAAAAAGTGATGAATGCTTAAATATAAAAATGTATTACAGTATAAAACATATTGCAATGAATCCCCTCTCAAAATTTTTTGTAATATCCTTGCTTCAAATACACCTCACTATTCTTGACAGTAGTGGCTTTAATAGGGTAAAAAAACATTAAACATTCACCATATTTTTTTATTACTCTTGTATAATCTCATGGATGAAGTAGTTGTATAGAAAGATGTTTCATCTCTGAACTGTTCAAAGGAGTTTTTTTCTTCAGCTCTGTGGACTGCATAACAAAACATGACTCAAAAATCCGAAAGCCCTCTTCATTCCAGAAAAAAGATTCTGGTTTTGGGTTTTTGTTGAATACTTGTGAGGCAGCAGATTAGGACCTAGCAGAGCAGTCTGGGTAAGTAAGCATGACTTGATGATCCTAGGACACGTGTGCAGAACAGTTCCCAAAGCCCTGCACATGGACTTTTTGAGAGAACTCAGGCAGGTTTTCAATAGGAAATAGGATGGCCTAGACCTGACGTCAGCCTGAGGAGTGGATGACACAAAAAGGACAGTTGACACTGAGCTCTTTGCAGCCCATGTGCCTGACTGATAGCAATAGAAGAGTGACTGTGCCAGTTCTCAGGGAGGGACTTGGCCAGCCAAAATCCTCACCACCACCCCCATAAAGAGGACTGGAGAGGCCCTAGGAAAGTTGCAATGGTCCTGTCCATAGACATGTCTATCTTCTGTGAGAAACCCTCAGTGACCCTGGATTAATGGGTAAACAATTTCAATTCCTTTGGCTTCTATTTAAACTTCCTCCTCTAGAAAACACTCCTCTAGCTCTATAGTCATAACTGGGATCAAGGAGAGCCCTAGTCAGAGCTTCTTTGCTCTTGTTCTGACATGTCACTTTGAAAGTCAGATGGTCAACCATAAGTTGTTAATTGTCTCACAGTGTCCCACTACTAGCAAAATTGGGGGCAATTCTCTAATTCCAGCAAAGGCCAAAGCAGATTTTACATGTTGGGACTATGCCAGGCCATCCTTCTAGATACTCCTGAGGTTACCATAAAGACTTGCATTCCACTCTTGTGAACAGTGATTTCCCAGACCTACACAAGCAGTCAGGACATCAGTGACCTAAGGATGTGTGGTTCGCTGTTAGAAGTAGCTTTGTCCAAGAAGGACATTGAAGGGCAGATTATACAATTGTCAGTTTGTAACAGGTCATTGAGACCAAACTCCCCCAGGTACCTCAACTCAAAAAGCAGAGCTCACAGCTCTTACTCAGGCATTGATATTAGGAAAAGGAAAAAAGCTAAATATCTATACAAACTCCAAACATGCATTTTTCTTGCTTCATGCCCATGTAGCAATCTGAAAAAGAAAGAAGCTTGCTGACAAATAAGTAACCATTTATAAAGCACAAGCAGGAAATTCTACAACTCTTAGAGGTAGTCTGTCTTCCCAGGCAGGTCACTGTGATGTCTAAAGGGAGACAAGTCTCCTTGGAAAATCAAAAGGCTATAGGGATGCAAGAAGAGCAGCCTTATAATCCCTCAAGACCCTGGCCTTATTCCAAATTCTTGAGGAACCATTAAAGGGGTTCTTCCTCAGGGATGCAGTGCAAAGTATAAAAATTCTACATGGGATATGATCACTTGAATTCACAGCACTAGAAAGAAAGGTACTCCTCTGAACTGCTGGAAGACCTGTGGTTCCTCCTCAGAAAGTGAGACTCCAGTATTGCTCTAGGTGCAGCTAAGTAGAGTCACTATGACTCTAATTCACACAGCTCAGATAGGTACCTGTATGTAGGCTCTTGTTTTTAATTGATATATAATGTGGGTGTAGTGGATTGACAACTGGTGGTCAACTTATAAGCCTCAGCTGAACTGAGTAAGCGTAGTGCTGGGTGTGGAAGGCCCACCTGGGAACTGTTGCTAGCAGCATAAGAGGCAGAACTGGGAAAGAAGAGGCTGGGCTGTTGCGAGCTGAGAGAGGCTGTTGGGAGCAGAGAAAGGCTGCTGGGAGCTCGTAGAAGCTGTAAGGAGCTGTTGATTCTGTTGGAGGAGCTTGCCATGCTGGCTTTCCCGATTAATTTGGCTGTTTTCATCCTCTGAGGAGTTTTGGACCTTGTTGGCACTGAGAATAGCTTCAGTTCACTTTGGGGGACCTCTGGTCCTTACTCTGAGCATTGCTTCCTGGCTCTGGAGGGGCAGATGGTGCATTGTCAGTCTCCTGGAGAAGCTTGTCACGTTGGCTTTCCTGATGGGAATTCAGCTGTCTTCACCGTTGGAGGAGCTCGGGACCTCACTGTTGCTGAGGATGGCTATGGTACTTTTCAGGGGAGCTCTGGTTCTTACTTTGTGCATTGCTTCCTGGCTCTAGTGCAGTTCCCTCAGCCTGCTAGCACAGATCCTTTATTTTGCTGGCACAGACTTCCTAGATTCCACCACTGACGTTTGGGTCTTCTCAGTGCAGATCCGTGAAACAGACCTGCATGAGATATTGTTATGGGCTGTAGGCCTCCAGCTGGACTTGTTGGAGGCACTGGTTTGAGCTCTAGGTCTTCAGCTGGACTCATATAGGACATTTCTGTGGGATTCAGGCCCTCATCTAGTTTCCTTGGTCTTAGTATGTGGATAGATTTCCTGCACTCTTTTGTATAGCATTCTTTGGGTGACTATTATAAATAATCTTATAAAATATTTGTCCTGTATTATATTGTTACCCTTGCAAAATATCCCCCAAATCAACACAGTGGGTAATCCTGCTAAGATTATGACTCTCTGGCTCTCAATAATTTATCTAACTTTTTTTTTTTTTTGCCATACTTTCTCCTCTACTGGAAGCATGGCAGTCTGATCTGCTACTCCTCATATTTGGGCTCTACATCCCTAACTTGATAGTAAAGTTACTTTCTTTCTCCCTTTGAACAGACAACATAACAGTCACTACCTCTTTTTTCATTATGTTCTGACAGGTTTGTTTTTTCTTCATTCCAGCCACAACATCCGAAGATAGTTGGAGAGCACATATTCCCCAGTAGGTCGGACTACAACCCCTTTCAGCAGGAAGTAGCTATATGAAGATAGAGACCTCCACTCCTTCAGCACCCCATAAATAATTAAAAGGATGTGTATCTCAGGGGGGAATGAGGCAGGAGATTAGGGCATGGCAAACTGGCTGAGAAAGTAGGCATGACTTGTTAATTACAAAATCCCAGGACATAGAAGCAGAACAGTTCCTGAAACCCTACATGGACTTCTTGAGAGAATTTAGGCAGGTTTTCTATAGGAGGCCTAAACCTGTTGTCAGCCTGAGGAAAGAGTGAAACAAAAATGACAGTCTACCTTGAGCTCTTTGCTATTGTGTTCTTTCGTTGTAGCCAGCTTTCATCTTATGGAGCATCATTATCCTACTTTTATTTCAGCCAAATTTGCTTTGCAGAGCCTGTTTCTTTTCTTACTTTTATATTTAAATACATGTAAAACCTTATTGCCATTTGCACTTGTCTTGACCAATGCTTTGTTCAGGACAGAAGGAACCCAGAAATCACATCTAGACAGAGACTCTGGCACCCCAAACAACACCCCCAAAACCTAGAAACACTTATTTAAGAAAAAACTGCTTTCA